AGGATGACCGAGAGAGAGTTGCTGTCGTACAGAAGCTGCAAGCAGTTCTTGACAGGAACCAGAAAAGTTTGAATGCGACGGATGTGGGAAACCTACTCAATGCCACCGTTGATCTCCTTAAGGACCGAGATCATGAAGTATGTCAGGGAGCCCTTCACGTTCTTGCATCAGCAGCGTCTCTCGCTGGTGATAGACTCCAGCTAGATTTCATGGCGCTGCTGCCTGCAATTATAGATAGACTTGGAGACGACAAGCAGTCCGTCCGTGATGCAGGGCGTGGACTCCTGCTAGCTCTCATGCAGGTAGTTGACAATCTTGAAAATTTTGCTTGCCTGGCAAATAAGAACAACTATGCATGGTCTTCTAGTTGTTGACGCCTTTCAGATATTCTCACCGACGATGGTAATTGAAAGGATCAGCACTAATGCGTCTCAACATTACAACTGTAAAGTTCGTGAGGAGTTTGTGCGAGTGCTAGACTCCGTAATTAGACTTTTTTCTCTAGACGAACTCCCTGTCGTCCAGCTTTTACTTCCAGTGGTAAAATCGAAGAATCTTCATTTTCTATTCTGGACTTGACTTGCGTTTTGTTTGCACAGGTTTTGGACTTGGTTAAAGATCTAAACTCATGTTAAGGAAGCCACTATGAAAATTTTGGAGGTACAAATCAATTCATTTACGGTAAGAGTTCCATTCGTATGCATCTTCCAGAAGCTATATCAGAAAAAGGGAGACCATTTTAAAGATGAGATTCGAACATTTTCCTTACGGCGGCCTGGTCAGGTACTTATTTAGGTTCTTGTTCACGAGCTAAGATTGGAACTGAAAGCTTGATCTTTATGCTTGGAAAGATTGATTCAAGGGTATGCACATGTGGACCAAAAGTGCCATCTCCTGTTGCTGGGATGAAAAAACAGCTGAATGAAAACGCGTCCCCAGCAGGTTTGTTTTATGGGAATTATAGCTAAAACTTTACCCAGGTTTCTAGCAGGAAGCTACTTGTTAAAGCATGGCCCTTCAAATAACGTGCGGTCAACAATAGCTGCACCGTCTGCTCCCCAGCTTGCATCACCTTCATTTCAATTAGATGTTCACCTTGATGGTAGTGATCATGATGGAGTCTCCGTGATCATCAGCGAACCTCGAGTAGCTGACAACAATCCTGACGAAACTCAAGCACAAACACGCCAGGGCCAAAGTTGTTGTAATGCTACACAAGATCCAGGAGAACCCTGCTGCATTTCTGGGATGATATCGTTAGACGAGACTCTTGCAGAAAGTCTTAGTAAAACTGCTGATTGGTCTGTCAGAGTGGGAGCATTTTCTTCCATCAAGAAATTTCTACACCAAGGTTCAAAGGGCCTGTCAGAGATCCACCAGTGTTTTGATAGCATCATAAGATTGCTCCGGGACCATTTGACGGATGCACACTTCAAAGTTTCTCAGGCGGCACTTTCTATAGTGGTTGATCTGGTAAAGGCATGTAAGAAGGGATTTGGAGTTCAGCTAGATTTAATGCTTCCGCTTCTATTTCCTCGACTGGTGGACTCAAGGCATGCCACTTGCGAGCTTGCGGCAGCAGCTTTACAAGCTATTGGAAATGCATACGACATTAAAATACTTTTTCCAGCAATTCTCCGCTCCCTTGACGAGCAACGTTCGCCAAAAGGAAAGGTGGCAGTTATAGAGTATGCAATTGGTGCTT